GCCGCCGCCACCCGCGCCATCGCGCTGCCGCCCGCTCCGAGGGCACAATGGAGCCGCGCGCCGCTCATGCATATGCATGACGCCGCGCGTCGGCCCCGCCCCTAGGCCAGAGCAGTGGAGCCCCGAGCCAGCGTTCGGGCGGGGGCGGCCGCAGACCTGCGCGGGCCAGGGCGTCGGGCCGGGCCGGGCCGAAGCCGGAGGATAGAGAGGGAGGGAGGGAGAGCGGGCGAGCAGGCCGGGGGTGGCCTGCGTCCCCCGCCCTCTCCACACCTTTCCGAACGCTGCATCCGCGGAGCCACCCGCTCTTCCTGCTCGCTCTCCACCGGGGCGGGGCGTATGGGGCGGGGCCACGACTGGGGCGTGGCCACGGCGGGAGGGCGGGGCCTGTCGGGGCGGAGGAGGCGGAGCCGGGGAGAGGGTGAGGCCAGGGCTAAGGAGGCGGGGCCAGAGCATAGGAGGAGGGGCCGGGGCGGAGGGGCGGGGCCTCGGAGCTGGGCGGGGCGGGCGGGGTAGGCGGAGGTGATCAGCTGTCAGCGGATTGCTTTTGCGAGGGGTCTTGTAAGGAAAACTTCGCTGAACCAAACAAGTCACTTCCCTGGCTGCTGTTCCTTCTTTCCACACCCGCCCCGTGGAAACGTCCTTCAAGTCGCTCTTGAGTTCTAGCCAGATGAAGCAGCCTCTTTTTGATCACTGGTACCTTTCAATGTTATTATCACCGTTTAAGTTATTCTCGACTTTTTCCTACCCTCCCTTTTGGAAGACCACATTCTCCCGATTACCCACAATTAATTTGTGTGTGTGTGTGTGTGTGTGTGTCCTAAAATACACATAAAATTTACCATATTAACCATTATTAAATGTCCAGTTCAGTGGAATTAAGCACATTCACATTGTTGTGCGAACATCACCACCATCCATTCCCAAAACTCTTCATCATCCCAAATTGAAACTCTGTCTCCATTACACACTAACTCCCAGCCCCTCCCCCAGCCCCTGGCACCCACCGTTCTACTTTCTGTCTCTATGAATCTGACTACTCCAGGGACCTCACATAAGTGGAATCATGCAGTATTTGTCCTTTTGTGATGAGCTTGTTACACTGAGCATCATGTCCTCAAGGTTCATCCACATTGCAGCGTATGTCAGAATTTCTTCCTTTTTAGGGCTGAATAATATTCCATTTTATGTGTAGACCACATTTGTTTATCCATTCCTCCATTGATGGACACACCACAATTAATTTTTAATATTGTTGAAATTTCTTCCCTCAAGACTGTCTGAATCCTGTGCTCTGCTTCTTTTGAGAACCATTAGTTCATTGAACAAATACAGTGGACCTGCTGCCAGCCAGGCAGTGGTCTGGGCTCTGAACACTGGTCTGTCTCTAGTGACCATGACAGTAATGCCTCTCCACCCCCAGCAGAAGGACAGAGGGAAGGAAGTGACTCACCAGGTAACAATGTGTCCATCAGGAGGAAGGTTAGGAAGAAAAATAAAGCAAGACCAGAGGATGGGGATTGATGGGGAATGGGGGAGGATTCTCTGGAGAGCCAGCCCGAGAAGAGACTCACATGAAGGGGGAGGTGGGGACCATGGGACCCTGACCCTCTTCTGCCTCCAGGAGGCTCTGAGTGTGGGGGAGTTGCAGGCATGTTCCTGGAGGAGGCCAGAAGTTGCTGCACCAGGGTCTGAGTCTGAGCCTTGCAGGCAGCTCTGTCACCTCCCCAGTCCAACGCCTGCCCCAGTGCCCCTGGGAGATGCCGTTTGGTGCATCCTTTCCATCCCTTCTAGATAGTGTTTTCATCTTTGACTATATGGATTGTTAGAAAGGTCTTCCTTATTTACTGGAGAAAATCTGCCTCCCTAAAACCTTCCTTCTATAATTGCATAAAATGAGAAGCCTCACTTGCGTATTTGACAGCTCTTCAAGTATTAGAAGAAACTTCTCATTCCTCTGTAATCTTCTGGTAGAGGACAAATGCGTCCAATTCCTTAAGTGTTAATGGCCACATGATTTCCAGACCCCATACTGACTGGCCACCCTCCTTCAGATGCATGACAGTTAGACAATATCCTTTTTAAAATCTGACACAGGGCCGGCCCTGTGGCTTAGCGGTTAAGTGCGCGCGCTCCGCTACTGGCGGCCCAGGTTCGGATCCCGGGCGAGCACTGATGCACGGCTTCTCCGGCCATGCTGAGCCCGCGTGCCACATACAGCAACTAGAAGGATGTGCAACTATGACATACAACTATCTATTGAGGCTTTGGGGGAAAAAAAAGGAGGAGGATTGGCAATAGATGTTAGCTCAGAGCCGGTCTTCCTCAGCAAAAAGAGGAGGATTAGCATGGATGTTAGCTCAGGGCTGATCTTCCTCACACACACACACACACAAAAAAGTGACACAAAGAAGGGAACACAATATTCCAAAGGAGGCCTGCCTAGCACAGCATTATGGGGCTTCTCTGAGTCTACTCTCTCCTGCAGTTAACTTGGCATAAACCTGAATTTGATTTTTACCCAGGACCCTCAGTTATTATGAACGGCTGCTAAGCATGCAAGTTTTACCTATTGTCAACTTAAAAAACTAACTTTAAATAGAAAAAAACTGCCTCTTCTTTGCATACAAGTAATATATTCTAATTGCAGAAAACACAGAGAAATTTTCATAATAAATCGAAACCTTCCACCATCCAAATGTTCAGAGATAATACCTGTTAATTTTTTGGCCTATTTTCTCCCAGATGGTTCTCTTTGCATATCTTTATGGTTTGGAGATTATGGCATATATGTGATTTTGTATCCTTATTTTTTCACTCTACTAACAAATATTTCCCTTCTTATAAACATTATCTGTGATGCTCATAAAATAAACGCTGTGAAGATTTATATACAAGGACGTTTGCTGTGGCATCATCTATGATATTGAAAAACGAGACACCAGTTGCATCATTCACTCACACGTTGTTGTTGAGCTTCTATTATTTGCCAGACACTGTTCTCAGTACTGGAAATACGGCAGTGAGCAAAACAGACACGAATCCCCGTTGTGAAGCTTCCATTGGTAAGTTCAATTCTTGTAGGTAATAGTTAAGTAGAACACACCCATAGGTTGGAATTTATGCAGCACCTCAAATCACATTTTTGAAGAATGTTTTATTGTGTGATAAGATATTCACAATTTGCTAAGTGAAAAACAGGATACAAAGTTGTATGATGCCAACATAGTTTCTAAAAAAACACTTATGGAGCAGGTGGTCTTCCCACAGGCCACTAATTCATTACGAGTGGACAAAGGTACTTTTACAGTAAACACATCGGTCAGACACCAGCTTAACCAAATAACCAAGTCAGCAGCACCAAGTGTGGGACCAGCCAACACTCTGTGCCTTCCGTCAGATGCTGAGAGAAAGGACACAGAAACCCCCAGGTGGAAGTTCCAGCCTGAAATGTGCAGCCCGAATCTAACCATAAGAAAACCGCCAGACAAATCAACACGGGAGTCGGCCTCTGGAACTGGCCTAGACGCTTAGAGAATGTCAGGCCTGCGGAGATGGTCTAGACCAGGGGAGAGCAGAATGACGGAGAAGCAGAGCCAATGCCAGGATCCTCTATTGGGCTCTGGATGGGGGAAGACACATTGTTGGGACACTGGTGGAAATCTGGATATGGCCTAGAGATGAGATAATAGCAGTGGATGGCTGTGACCTTCCCTCGTGTAGTGGCCGCATTGTGGGCTTGGGAGAATGCCCTTGTCTTAGGAGACTGTCAAGGAGACGTATTCAAGGGTGAAAGGTCACGAGATCAGCAACTAAGGCCCCACAGTAAACCAAAACAACAGAGTGTGTGTAGAGAGAAAGAAATGTGGCAAAGCAGTAGTAGGGGAATCTAAGAAATGACAGGAAGGAAATGCACCAAAACATGAATAGGGTGCATTATTTTTAGATTTGGTAAAACCGATTTAAAGTTCTTTAAAATACTCTGATGACAGCCTACTTTATCTTCCACTGTAACATGATTACAGCTGTAGGCGGTAGGAAGGTTCACCTCGGCTTTCGGGAGTACTGACCCACCGGAGTGAGGGGACCGCAGCCCGGAGCCGCTGTCAGACGCGCAGGGTGACATGACGCTGCCTAGGTAGGCTGTAGGAGGATGCATATGTCTCCCAGGAACACTGAGACATGGCGACTGGCAGGCTGGTGGCGGACAGAGGATAGAGCTGGCCTGGTCCCCAGGGGCTACGTTTTCACCAGCGTCTACTTGGCCATCAGGGAGGTGGGGGCGGGCAGGGGCTGGGCTGGCCGGTCCTGGCACCTTCGCAGCAGGGTCATTGTGATGGGGCAGGTTGGGAGGATGGGATTGGGTCTCCTGGACATAGTTTTGTTTTCTTTGTTGCAAGGATCCCGGAGATGTTCTCCAAGTTGTTTATGAAAGAGCTCCACCCCTACCACAGGCCCCACCATCAAGCACCACCCGCAGCTGCACGCCAGGCCCCACCCCCAGTCTCCACCCCAGGCCCCACCCCTAAGATCCACCTCAGGCATCACCCCCAGACCCCAACT